GCCCCCGCTTCTCCCGGCTCCCCGGTGCTCCTTTCAACTGGCGCGCGCAGTGCAGCGCACCGCTTCGGGCCGGGGCCGCGCTGCCGCCGCGGTCCTAGACCCTGCCCTGTAGGGCACGTCCGCAGCCCCGCTCCCCCGCTTGGCTGCGGGGTCGCCCTGCCCCCGTGCCGCCGTGAGGCCAGCGTGCCCTGCGCTCTCCTGTGTTGCAGTCCAGATCTCAGTTGCACCCTTCACATTAGTTTAGGCAAGTTTTTTTTTCAATTGAGATGAATACATTATAAAATCTCAGTTAATGTCAGTTGGTCTAAATCAGTTATAAATATATTTGGACACAACATGTATAGTTGGTGTTATGTTCCTGTTCATATTTTTTGAACTTAAAAGTTGATAATATGTAATGTACTTTACAATGTTCCTGACATATATTTCAGCTTCCTGGATTTTTTTTTCATCTGGCCTTCAGATATGAAAGGCAGAGTGATTTAACACCTGTTTAGATTTGTCATCCATGTGACGAAATGAAAAGTATGCCGTTTGCAATAAACTTTGCATAAAATAGTTAATTTGCATTTAATTTTAATGGTTCAAAGAATGTCAGGCAAAATGGTTGGCCCTCACGCATGTTCACTTCTTCAAATCTGGCCCTCTTTGAAAAAAGTTTGGACACCCCTGCAGTAGGACGTCCAAGGTAGCGCACTCTTCCTCTGACTTCCCTTACTCCTTGTAAAATGAGGGTTACAGCAAGAGTAAGAAGTCCTCCAGCTTGACATTATTTTGAGATAAAATGAAGTATAAATAGGTAAGCATTAGTATGGTAGAAATAGATCTGGAGGTTATAGTGAATCACAAATTGAACATGAGCCAGTGATGTGATACAGCTGCTAATATCATTTGGGGGTAGTTTAACAGATGTATCGTAACTATCCTGCTCTACTTGGAAGAAACATTTAGTGGGACTCAACACAATAATTGTTTCCAAGTTCCACTTATGGCTAATATGTCAAACTGTTTTTTTTTCTGGCATTAAATGGCACAAGACCAGTAGTGCAAACAGATTTTGGATAGTTCAGCATTGGTTAATGTCATCCTGCATTCTAGAAAAAACATATTTATGATACCCCGATACTCCTGTGTACAGCACAGCCTTCCCTGATATAGATGTTATATTCTGCATTTTTGGTATAACACTTCAAACTAGTTTTAGTTACTTAGTATTTATGACAAAAGCTCAGTATTTATGGAGATTTTTGGTAACCATCTTTTTCAGGTTCTTGTTGCTGTATTAAAGGTTATGTTTTATAATACAGTGACTGTAATAATTTTTTTATTACATGCCAATATATATATATAGTTACCATTAATATCAGAGGTTAATTATATGACTGAAATAATTTTTATCCCTTTACTGACATTTTGGGTTTTTTTCCCTGCATGTACTAGCGCACAATCGCATAAGCAAGAAGCTAACTGCAACAATTATGTGAAAAATTACAGTCAAGTTCCTATGTAACTACATTATAATTATAGTTGCTGTAATATAAATTATCACCCATTAATGTTTCTTCTGTTTGGTGTTCTTCAAGCAGGCTATCCATAGTTATATTGGAACATGGTTATCATGGAGTAGTTGGTAGAGGCTATTAACTTTACATTTTTATTCATTGGAATGGGGATTCCTTTGTTTTCATTCCATTCAGATATATGTGTACATTGGCTGAGGTTCTGTAGTGTCGCTCTGCCAACTACATTTTAAATAAGTACTTGTTTTGCAAATGCACGTCAGCAGCTAAATCTTTTTTATTGCCTTTTTGGTGTGACACACCAAAGCCAAATTGTCATTGCCACCTGCTGTAATCTAAACAGTTAAACAAACACTTTTCCAGGGGCTGGGTAACATGCCTGCTTGCAGCATGGTGAAGCCAGTGCAAAATTATTTAAAAAAATAAAAAGGCAGGAAAATTTGCTTCTACTCCACCTCAAAAACAGGACATGTAGTAGATAAGCCAATGGAACAGGAAACACGATTTTTTTTCCTTTTTATGAAGCTATTACAGAAAATGGAAGAGTTATAATAACCTAGAAAAAGTTGGCTGGCACCATTCCTCTGGTGATTATTTTGGACATGCTGAAAGACAGACACAAAATATATGACATAATCATTAGTTTAAAAAAACCCCTCACACCTCCATCTGTTTGAAATCTGTTCTTAATCCAATTGTAGAAATAACATTGTATTATTCTATCACTTCTGTATCTTTGCTTATGAAGCACTAAGAGTAACATTACTTAGCACAGTACTTATTCTACTACTTTTTCATCCGGAGAGCACAAAGTGCATCATAAAGGCAAGCAAGTATCATATCCCAATTCTACAAGTGAAAAAAAATTCAAGTGCAAGGCATGGGTGGAGAGTGGAGCCCTCCTCCAGGTCCAACAATAAATTATGGGCAAAGCTCAGCACAGAACCAACCTCGTCCTGATGTGCAGGCCAGTGTATTGTTCATTAAACCTGTTGTATCCTAATAAAAGGAAGGGGCCTTGTGACTTTCCTACAGTCTCATCAAATGAACCAAAAGGTGTTTGCATGAAAATGCCAGCCAACATGCTTCCTAACAATATCAAATAGTGTTAACGTGTTGAATCCAGATAAGAAAGGACCAAGTGTCTGAATTTCTAATTGAGAAGAGAACACGTGAATACTGTGGATGTCCTTTACATTTATTATACACAATATGTCAACTGTAGACCTCCCTCCCCCATGACATTGCTCCTGGGAATGAAGTGAAGCTTTGACCATGTGATGATATTATTTCCTCTCCTGCCTTTAGCTGGCTTTGTCTCCAGAGAGTGACATCATGCAAGATGGCAGCCTATTGGGTCATAGGTAACTCATGGGGACAAAATAATTCCAGTGTACTGACAGAAAACTGAACAACCCACTCGAGTTCTGAGTTGACCAGATTTCATCCTGAATCTCAGTTTTAGAAACAGTTTGCAATAGGCTGCAATTCCGTAGATAACCAACACACAAACAGGCACAACGGCCTGCCACGGACACTGAAATAGCTTTTAATATCGCACACATTCTTGCACAGATACACACACTACAGAAATGCTGCCCACAAATCCCCAATTTACACACACACCCCTATAGATACTGTACACTTCCCTCCCAATGCACCAATACCCCTACAAACCCAGTACGCATCTTCCCCACATCTACAAGTATGCCCCTACACACACCGTGCACACACACCTCAATCCCGACACACCCCTACAGACTCACTGTCCACACTCCAATCAACAGACATGCCCCCAACCCAGAAACACACCCCTATAGATGCTGCACACACACACCCCAACCCAGAGACACCCCCCCACACACACACACGCACGCACCAACCCAGACACCCCTCCACAGACACTGAGCACATCTCCCCCTCAACCCAAAAACATACCCCTACAGACATTTTGCACATCCCCCTTCACCCAGAGACCCCCCCTCATGGGGACACACACCAACCCAGAGACACACCCTCACAGACACACACACCAACGCAGAGACACACCCCCATGAACACTGTGTACATCTCCCCCTCAACCCAGAAACACACCCCCACAAACATACATACCCACACCAACCCAGAGATACCCCCACAGACACTGCACATATCCTCACACTGCACACACACACTGCACACACACACCCCTACAGACACTGTGCACATCCCCCTCAACCCAGAGACAGGTCCTTACAGACACTACGCATATACTCCCACTGCGCAGACATGGCCCTGCAGAACTCACACACACATACCCCAGTCACACTGACACACCCCTACGGACACTGTGCACTGTCCTCTCCAACATGCAGACACGCTCCTATAGACACGCCTCCCCAGCACACAAGCTTGCTGCTTACATGTCCCTGCTGCACAGATACACTGCACCACATCCCCCTCAATGCAGAGACACACCCCTCTGGGCACTGTGCGCATCCCCTCACTGCACACAAAAGCCCCTGCAGACACGTTGCAGGCATGCCCTTCAGCACACAGACTCGCTGCTCACATGTCTCTGCTGCACAGACACTGCTCGCATCCCCTTCTATGCAGAGACATGCCTCTAGGGACATATAGCGCACGTCCCCTGCACCGCACACACACAGCTCAGGTCCCCCCAGTGCAGACATGCCCCTACAGACCCTGCTCCCCCCATGCAGATGTGCCCCTACAGACATGCCCATCACTGCACACACATTTACCAACCCAACCCTCCAGTCTCCATCCCTCACGCAGTCACGCAGGTACAGCCTCTTCGGAGGGACACACACACATTTTCTATCCAATTGCCTCACCTGGGCAATGTGTATTTTTATTTTTATTTTTTAGGGCAATAAAACTCTCTACTGGCACCTTCCCAAAGCTCTGGATAGACATTCAATAGATACACAATACAGCTGACATTACAGCATCACCTATTGAACACCAACGAAATGTGGCCTTAGAGTCACATCTGAATGGTGCAGATTAATTTCCCCTCCTCCAGCTTCTCCTCACTGCACCATAAAGCAATCACCAAATCATGTTAATTACCTTCTTCCAGTTCATCCATGCTCCCAATCTTTCTGGTCCCATCGATGGTGTAGATGTAGCGAACTCCCTGAGGCAGGTTAATGTTATCAGACAGAGACCGGGTCAGGTCAGCCAGCAAAGCGTCAAAGCTTCGGAAACGGTCAGAGGACACGGCGTACACAATCCCCTTGAAGTAGCGGTCTCCATTGCGATAGAAACGCACCTTCTTTGCTTTCTTCTCATTACTCAGCGCCTGTAAGGTCCGGGTTCGGTAGAAGCTACAGTGAGCACTGTGAGTGGGGCTGGGCAATCCATTCATACGTGAGCCTCGCATGTTTCTGGACGTCTTATCTCTTTCGTCAAAGTGTCCAAAATCAAGTTCCATAGTTTGGTGAACCCTAAAGATCTGAAGCTGAGTGGCAGGGAATGGGGGGGAGGGGAAGGAATGCAAATGAGATATTAGATTGATTAGGACCCAAATCTAGATAGAAATTACAAACACACAAAATTGTGGCTTTTCTTTGAATGAACAGAAACGGTTTATTTTCAAAGTGAGCTGTGTCCTGCCCTGATATAGCTTCATATCAAGTCTGGGGTTGGAGAAGGCAAGGTATTTGCCTTTTTGGAAGTGATCCACCCATTGTGGGTGGGTGAGGAGAATGCATTTTTAAATAGCTGTCTGGTTTTAGCACATTTAAGTCCCATGGAATTTTGAAGTAAATTTACAGTAAATTAAGACTTTGGACTGAAGAGCTACATGAAAATTACAAACAAACAAATGAAAATCCCACCCAAACAACAAAGGTTGACAATCAATTAAATCTGCTGAGCTTTGGGAGACTTCCCTGGCAGCAGAGAACAAGCAGATCCCAATGAGTTAGGTTTCAATCTGTAGATTTGCAGAAGGAACAAGAGTATCTGAATGTCTAAAATGAGAATCAACTAGGATTTATGAAAGAACGGCCACATGGGAGTAGCCAGTTTCTTTGTGACAGTCTGTTCAAAAAAGGCTAGCAATCAGATACTAAACTCCCCCCACCCAGCAGACCCCTCCCAGCCCATCAATCAATTCCTGACACCATCCTACATTTCTAAGAAGAAATGACTGAAAATTGTTTCATTAAAATGAGGGTTCAATTCAAGAGCCCTTCTTGGGTTTGTTTCTAGTGCCATTTAATCAAAAAGAAAAAAAATGGTCTTTTTATTTGTTATTTTATTCCCCCTACCCTTAAAGAAGTGTTTTAATTGTGGAAATTGTCCCTGTTGAAGTATTCACATCACACCACTGCAAGCACACCTTTCATTGTTCTGAGCAGTAGTGTATTACAGAGGGAAAAAAGATAAGCAGTTTTATGGGCAAAATACAGAGATTGGGCTGAGTTGGAGATCAGACCCAATGATCAGTGATTTTTTGTGTTCTTTTAAAATGGAACTTAGTACCAAAAGAACACCCCTATAAAATGGGAAACCTTGCAGAACTATTAATATGCAACTCACATATGGTAGCAGTGTGTTCATTCAAAACAGAAATGGGATTAAAATCCACTGGCTCAGCAGCCAGGTACAAACCCTAGGAAAAGCTGTTGCTATCATACCCCCACCCATCAGATTGTCTAGAGCCAGTCCCATTTTCAGTATTTTACAATGTCACCGTGACCTGTGTAAGATCTCATTATTGTCTCTGACATGTAGCAAAGCAGTAGTGGGTTATGCAGGCAGTTTTTATATAAACACCCAGTTGCACATATTTTTTTCAGAAGTGCAAATTGTGACATCTGTACTTTAATGTCATGCAGAAAACAATGAAATAGGCAAGCAACTTTAAACATGATGCAGAGGTTTTAAGGGTTTCATTTGGAAACTGCAGATGCTGCAGTGTACAAAAAGAAAGAGGTTTCTCTTTTTCCTTTGTACATGACATCTGTTACTTTCTGCATGGAAATCACTCTAAAGCGCTACTCACCGGTTTTCAGCTCGTAGGGTGGAGATGCTGAGAGAAAGAAAATCAGTCTCACTCTGCCTTTGTTGTCTGAGCTCCAAGCAAGAAATTCCTGCCTGGGTGGAAGAGATTCCTCCTAGGTCCTAGTGCCTTGTTCACCCCTTTAATGATAATTTAGCCTCAGTAGTTTTCACCCTGATAGCCAATTAATAGTTTAAAGTATTGTTTAAAACACAGACAAAAGAAATAGATTCATTCCCATTCCCGTTACATCAACAGCAGGGTAAAAATAGTTAATGGAACAAATCTTGAAGTCATCACCCTCTGCTTTTTTAGGCACCACTCCCATTGCCTTCATATGATCTAATCATCTGGAAAGCACTAATCATCCAATCATTGGGCCCCAGATGCAGTTAGGTTTCTACAGCAGCATGATAGGGTTTCAGCTGCAGTGTGGCAATGGCTGCAGTCCTATAACGTGCAACAAATTTTGACATGTGTGTCCAGAAAGAGGGGGGAAAGGAAGCCAGAGCTAACAATGGGCAGAGGAGCCTGATTCTTCTCTGATGTTTTCAAACTAGCTTATTCTGAGTTACACAAGTGTAAGTGAACTGTGCTCAATGGATCTGCACCTTTTTTGTCCTATATAATTTTTCTGTGTTACAGAGCATCAACTATGAAGCTAGATTTGTTTAATGTGGATACAGGATCTAAACACTCAGTACCTGCCGTAAGTTGACCACTAATGAACAGGAGTTAGGAGGGAACTTCTCTGTAGGTAAACTTTTCCATAACTCTTCACTATAGGATGTCTTGCACCTTTTGCTAAACTGCCTCAACTGGTATTGGCCACTCTTAGGCTACTGCTACATTATGAACTTTTTCCGGAAGAGGAAATGCAAATGGAGCGCTCATTTGCATATTCTCTTCCGATACTTTTTGTGGAAGAGGTTTTTGTGGAAACAAGCACTGTGTAGATGGCGCCTTTTTGTGCATAAACCCTCTTTTGTGAAAGATCCCTTCTTCCTCAATTTTTGAGATGGGATACTGGACTATGTGAACCACTGGTCTGAGCCATGAGGCAGCTCTTATGGCTAATCTAACTGAAAAGTTAAAATGTGGGTAGCTGTTCATAAAGTTATAATATGTACTTCCAGAGCAATTTTTAGAAATCTCAACCTAGTACCTCTGTTTCATTCAATATATGTCCAATTGGGATGTGAGGCTTTCCTGATAGTTGACCTGATTAGCCTTGAACTAAATATGGCCAGCTTGTTAATATCCAGACCAAATCCAGAATCATGAGTCCAAATTCCCATAAATTACACAAAGTTACAGAGTTGAGTGATTTGATGTAAATCAGCCCAAAAGATTTGGTTCTGGGCAAATCCAAAACTATTTTTTTATTCCAATGCAGTGGACACTTTATGACAAAAGTAAAAAACTCTTTAAATTCATGTCATTTGAGCTCAAAACAACCAACAATCCAGCGGCTGCTCTGAGGAAAGAGTTGGTGATCTGTGATGGGTGTCTGCACCACAAAAGCAACATGCTAATTCACACTTTGCTAGTGGCGCACTCAACACGTTCCAAACACTGGAAACAACATAATCTTTTCGCCTCTAAACGAGATATCTCCAAACCAAAGTAAAGCCACCTGTGCTGTGCCCTTTCTGGACAGAAACACTGGCTTCTATCGCCAGTCAATCTGGTACATTCCACTGGTATCACAGTCCCATAACAACTAATGTTATAGACAAAATAAATTGGACACAGTCTCTTTGGTCAGTATTTTTTGTGCTTGTTTGTTTGCTTGCTTGTTTTGCTATAACTCCTGTAAATTACTGTATCCAGTGATGAAAGGCTATTCCTTCGTATGAATGTGGCTGTCATTTGTCTTTCCTGAATGGTATCCCTATTACAGCAACAGCACTCTGCAGGAGCCAGGTTGAATTTTCCTTCGTAAAGAGAAACAATCCAATCAGGTTTGCATTGCAGAATCAGGTTCCTGGCCCTTTCCGACATGGAGGCACTAGGAGCCTCGATGAAGCATTGGTGTGGACACCGGGCATTCTTGTGTTCTAAGACTGGCTCTTTCATTGGCTTCTTGCATGGATTTAAGCGATTTGCCATGTGCTAACTGATGCTCTGCAAGGATGTTAAGCTATTCGGTTTGATTCAGCCAAACCCTTGGTAAGGTTGCCATGAGTTTTCCCCATTATATAGTTAGCTAGAGCACTGGAGAGGGGTGGTGGAAATGAGGTCACAGCTCCATTCTCACAGTCTCCTTTTAGGAAACTAGTGCACCTGGAGACAATAGGAAAAACCAGGACCTGTGCTCCGGGGTTTGATTGGCCCCTGCACAAGATGGAAGAGGAGGGATGCAACTTCTTGAACCTTCCTCTTCCCTGCTTCTTCCCCAGCCTGATCCAGCCCTTTATGTATGTCTCTATGCTGCAGTTTACTCATCAATAAACTGCGGCTAGTAAATGTCTTATCTACATCACATAGTGTTGTGGAAATAAATTAATGCTTGTGAGAGTGTTCTGAAGTGACACGAGGTATAGGATGAGCAAAAATAAAGGCTGGAAGAACAGATGCTCTTCTTCTGTGATGCTTGAGTGCCTCAATAGATAATAAACCAATGATTCCAAATGGTCTCCTGCGTATAAGACACTCCAGTATGATGGGCCAACACCAAGTGCAAAGGCAGAGAGATATAAACCCACCAGCCAATAGACTCATAATACCCCTCTTGTACTGATTTTGATTTAAATTAGGTGACACGGATAATTCTGAGGGGAGAGGCAGCTTCAGTGGATCACAGCTGTGTGCACACATTGCACTGAGAAGGGGAAGTGAAATAAAATAAACACACCTGCTTGGGAGTCCATTACAAGCTTGAAACACAATATATATCTCCTTTAAAAATGGTAAAATATTAAGCAAAGCCAGTATTCACACCAGCCTGTTACCATGCCCTTGACATGGACTCAGAGATACAACTGAGACTCATCCCAAATGATCCCTCGGATGATTCTATGGACCTCAAAAGCATTTTTTATTTGTTCTTCTTTCATCCAGCTACTAATGGGGAAACAAAACACCTCTGCAGCCACAGCATCAGTGACGATGAAGCGTCCTTGGGCAAAACTCTTTTGTCAGTTACACTGACGTCAATCCAGAGGAAACTCACTGATCTCCAGGGCTGAAGTAATACTTCTAGGAAGCCTAGGCGATTAGATTTTGTGGCGCCCCCTGGACACTGGGGTGGGGTCAAATATGAGGAGCTCAGAGTGTGGATGGAGGTTGTGAGTTGAGGCAGGAGGACGAGGATGGGACGAGATGAGGGCTCCCGACTGGGGGTGCAGGCTCTGGGATGGGCTGGAAATGAAGTGTTTAGGGTACAAGAGGGGGCTACAGGCTGGGACCAAGGGGCTTGAAGTTCATGAGGGGGCTGAGGACAAGAGATTGAGGTGGGGATGCACGGTCTGGATGTGAGTTACAGTGTTGGAGCTGACTCAGGGTTGAGGTATAGGGTCTAGAAAGGAGTTAGGAACTTTGGGTAGGCTCAGAGCTGAGGCAGGAGGTTGGGAGGCAGGGCGCTTACAAGTGGCAGCTCTGCTCTGGCTGTGGGGGAAGAGAATCAGATGGCTCAGTGAAAGTCACACTGCCTTGCCCTTCCCTGCAGGCACTTTCCCCTCCCCCCATCGCAGCTCCCATTGGCTGGGATTCCTGGTCAATTGGAGCTGCAGGGGCGGAGTCTGAAGGCAAGGGCAGCGCAGGGATGGAGCTTTCCCCAGTGCTCATGGCAATGTGGCTCCAGCCCAGTCAGGGAGCATGGAAGCACATGAAGCTGCCTACCCTCTACTTCCCAGCCAGGCAGGGCCTAAAAACATGCAGGGGCTTTAGTGCCTGCAGCCCACTGCCCCAGGGTAAGGGGGTCTCACAAAAAGTTCTGGACTTTTGGTGTTTTGGAGATCTTTTTGAGGACCCCCACCTCAGGCTGGGGCCCTGGGCTGTAGTCTTAAAGCCCTTTCTTAATCCAGCCCTATTGGTCTCAATGGAATTGTTCTGCATTTACTCCAGTGCAACTGACATCAGGGTCTGACCCCAGAGATATCACTAAGCACCCAAACTATGGCATATGAATGACAGACATTTCTATTAATGCCTTGATGCATCTGTGGGCCTGATTTGGATCTTGCTTATAGCCATTGCACATGGAACAATTCCATTGGCCTTGATGATTTTACTACTGATTAATACCAGTTTATGTTAGAAGAGAACGAAGCCCTATGTCTCCATCAGCTAAATCACTTTCGACAGGGCAAGTGATTGAGAAACCGGGACTGCAGCTGCTTCCTTCCTATCAATAAATTCAGTTAGATAAAAAGGAAGGTTAAATGTAGCTCCTCAGATTAAATTATCTGTTCTAAATTAGATGTATCGTCTTTACCCAAAGCAGCCAACAGTGGATCTTTCTGCTGTGTAATTAAATCTAGAGAGCGATGCTCCCTACTGAAGTTCTTTATTGCATTTTGGGGGTGAATGTGATACATTTGAAAGTGCAGGAAAGATCAGCAGGTCGGAAGCATGAAGTGATTTGCTGCTTGCAAACCTCCGCATAGGCCAATACCTCAATACAATGCACCTAAACCCCCTGATTTACAACCCTACCAGCTGTTCCAGCCCAATGCCCACACTCAGCTCAGCCAACACACCTCAACCCTCATATCCTTGCTATTCCAAAGAACTTCCTCCAAGCGCGATGCATTTAACAATTGGCGTCTGATTTAAACTAACAACTATCTGGGGCCTGTATGTTCTAGGTGAGGAATCTAGACAATTTGATAGTGCAATTAAAACTTTCACTGCTCATTGGCTTTTAAGAGGAAGACAGGCTGATATTTTCAAAGCAATCCATGGTACGTTGACATATGTCTTCCATTAATTTTATTTTTAAATCCCTATTACTTCTTTGAAAATGTCATACTTGAGCTCTTCTTTCAAAGCTTTTTTTCTTTTTATGGAAACACGAGTCTTTCAGAAGTAGCTGGTGGTTTTAGTTCCTCTCTAAGATGATTTTCCAAGGGTGGGGATTAAGCAGTTCATGAGAATAAAGACTCCAATAAAGACTCCATTTTGGCACTAGTCACTTTTGAAAGTCTCAGTCCTATAGCAAGAGCCACTAACATGGTTCTTCAAAGGAATAGCTTGCACCTGAAGGAACTATTCTTATAAGAGCTACAGAGTTGCACCCAATCCACTCGGATAATAATTGATTTGGAATTTGCAGTCTTCCACA